TACTTCTTGTGCAGATGCTTTCTATATTACTCATTAAGAATGCCAAACTGCTAGTTAGAAGTGCACAACAAATGGAACAACTGGCTGTATTGCTTTAGGATCTTGCTAATCATATACTTCATAAGCTGGTTGCTTTTTCAATGACAAAGGAGTTGTTTACACTTCTGGAGCAATTACTTCAACAGGTCTCTGTACTTGGGATACAACATCTACCAGTTGTAGAGATTAATCATGTGCTGATTTAACTGGTACCAATCATTCAACATGTGCTTCTTAATTATCAACATGCACATCAGATGGAACTACTTGTTTATTGAAAGGAGCCTGTTCATCTTACTTAACTTAAACTGCTTGCACAACCGCTGTTGGATCTGATGGAGCTTGCTATTGGGAACTAGCATCTGCTACAAATAATAATACAGCCAAATGTAGATTACTTACATGTGCTGATATTCAAAATGGTACAGCAACTAATGTTTGTTCAGTAGCCTTGTCAACTTGTGTTTCAAATGGTACAAATTGTATTCCAAAAGCTAACTGTTCAACATATACATCAAAGATAGCATGCAATTCAGGTGGTTTAGATGGTATTTGTGTATTCACTTAATCAACTGCCGCTGGAGCTGTTGCTGGTACTGGTACTTGTGCTTTAATGACTGCATGCACAACCGCCAATAATGATTAAACTGCATGCTAAGCTGCCAGAGATAGATGTTCTTGGACATCTGCTTCTGGATCCGGAGCCACTGCTGTATAGAGTAAATGCACAGCTCACACTTGTGCTACTAATTAAGCTACTAATGGAGCATGTACAAGATTCTTGAATTGGGATAGAAAGACTCAATAAATTTGTACTTTGTCTAATGGAGCATGCAATGCATCAGACCCATCAACATTATCCTCCAATGATTGCTTCTTAATTTCTGGATATACATATACTTGGAATGCCTCAACAAGTAAATGTGGAGTTTGCACTGCTGTTGTTGTTCAACCAAATACTTCGAATAATAATACAAATACCCCTGGTAATGAAACAACTACAGAATCTGGTTACATTCTTGGATTATCAACAATTATCTTGGGACTCATTCTCAATTGAGATTGATTTTTAAATTTATATAGGGAAAAATTTATAATAATTTTAAAATTTTATCTTTTTGTTAATTATTAATTTTTGTTTTTGGTATCTAATATAACATAATAAACAAGGTTTTGACTTTTATCTTAATTTCTAAAAAATTATCAATCTAAATTGATATTGTTTGTTGGCTAGTTATTCAGAGAATACTTTTTTAAAAAAAAGATTTATTTTTGTTTGAAAAATGAAGTGGATCATGTTAATTTGTGATTTGAATTTTCAAAAAAGAGAAAAGCATTAATTTAACTCACCCAAAATAACCATTTAAAATAGAATTTTTTTTTTACAATGTATAAGAATAAACAGAATAATTTTAATCGTATATTTTGAGAATAAATCTTAAAATTATTACCCAACAGTAACCAGATTTTAAAACCATATAGAGACAGTAAATTTATCTGTTGTAAATAATGGATCTTTATCAATTATCAAATTACTAAAAGAATATTTCAAATTCAAAAAAATAAATTTTTCAAAATTAAGTTCATTTAATAAGTACATATCAAGTCAAATTCTTAATAAATTAAAAATATACAAACTTAAATTTTAAAAATTCCTTTATCATAGCTTATTTCTTGATTTTCAAGAATTTATAGTAGAGTAAAATTTTTTTTTATCAGATAAATTTTTGAAATCCTCATTTTCTTGTTTGTTTAATCCTGGTATTATATATTTAAATAAGTAATCTAGTTCTATTAACAAAAAGAATTAACTTTCCTATTTGGAAGAGATAATCATCGTAAGATGGTATGAGAAAAAAAGGAATTTTTGTGTTTGTTTTATACTTAAGCCATTTTAAAAACAATTTGTAATTTGATTGGTCTAAACAAAAAAAAATGGATTTTAAGTTTTTATGCTTAAAAAGAAGAGTTGGAAAAGACAAAGAAACATACATAGGCAAAACAATTAACTTTGAAATATTTAAGGGTGAAAATGAGGTTTAAATTTTTTTAGCTATCCTAATGTATATTTTTTTTTAATTCAATATTTATTAAAAAATGTTAAAAGCATAATAAAAAGTTAAGCCAAAATAATCTATGGGAATAAATATTGAACAGATAACCAATCAAATTGTTTATGAAAGAGTTTGAATTGGTTGGAGATAACCGTAAAGTGGTCTTTATTGAGTGAATTAATAAATTTTTATATTCTTAGTAATTGATAAGAAAGCTTTTAAGAAAAAATATGGGTTATAATTTTAATAATTCAGTGGAAAGAAGTATATTTATATTAAATTTTACATGAAATTATAGTGTGACGAGATTAGATGTTATTTTGCTTCATTAATATATATTAATAGTTTAAGTAAAATAATTTTACTAATATTGGACTACATTTAAGCTAGTTTTTTGTAAGAAATATTACTGAAATATACTATGTATTCGTTAAAAATATATATAAAAAATATATGTGTATTATTAATATAAATTTAATAATTAAAGACTAAAGATATTATATGATTTGATAAAATAAATAAAATATCAATGCATACTTGTGTCTTCAAAGAGGATGCCAGAAAGGCCTACTTGGATTAAGATGGAAAGGTAGATTTAGGTAAAATCCAAGCAAGATGGAGTGAATTAGGTAAGATTAAAGTCAGTCTTGGAAATAAATATTTCACACCAGCTGTAGTCGAGAAAGTGAAGGGTCTTTCAGATTCCGATTAATAAAGATTCTTGGATGTAATGATGGGAGGTTTATCAAATGATGATAGCTCAGTTGGAGTATATGCAACTAGACCTGAAGATTATGATGTTTTTTCTTTTTATTTAGAACCATTAATAAGAGAATATCATAAGATAGAAGGTCAAACAAAATAGGAACATGATTGGAATATTCCAGTGGGAGAATACGTTCTTACAAAAATAGATTCAAGATTAGAAAAGGTATCAATGAGAGCAAGAGTAGCACGTAATGTGAAGGGATGGAATTTACCACCATCTATGGATAAAGATGAGAGAATTAGATTTGAAAATAAGATGGTAGAAGTATTTGGCAGTTTCGGAATTCAAGGAAAATATCACAGTTTAACACCAGGCCATAAGAATTATATTACAAATGAATAAGCAGATTAATTAAGAAACAAACACTTCTTATTTAATGATATGACAACTGATAATCATTTAACATCATCAGGAGTAGCATCAGATTGGCCATATGGAAGAGGAATATGGGTCAGTGAAGATGAAACAAAAATGATTTGGATAGGAGAAGAAGATTAATTGAGAATCATTTCAATAGTCTAAGGAAATGATTTAGGAAAGGTTGATTAATCACTTCATGAATTATTGACTGGTATTGAGAAGAGTGGTTTAGAATTCGCTGAACATCCTGTCTATGGTGTTATAACTACTTGCCCAACTAATATGGGAACAGGAAAGAGATAATCTATTCTAGGAAAATTCCCTAATATTACAAAGGGAGGGACAGATGAAAAGAAATTGAAAGAAGTTGCAAGATCATTAGGATTACAAGCAAGAGGAGTTGGAGGTGAACATTCTAATATGGACAAAGAAGGAACAGCTGATATCTCACCTTCTGCTAGATTTGGAGTCACAGAAGCTATTGTCACCAAAAGACTATATGAAGGATTGATCAAATTATACGACATGGAAGTTTAAGCTGCTGGAGGAAATAGACAGAATTGTTGTATAATATATTGAACATTATTCAAATGTAAAAAAAATACATTTATCAATAATTTTAATATTAATATATATATATTATTTTAAACTAAAAAACAATAATTTAGGCAAACCTCTTAAAACAAATAAAACTGACACACTTATTTATAAATAACTTTAATGACAGACCAGCACTTTTTCTAATAAATTGAAATTTTGTTTTTAATTTTATTGAATTCTTTTTGAAGAATCAATCATTTTTGGTAAACTTAATTTTCTAATTTCTCAAATTTTTTAATATCCATCAATTCTCTAAATTTTTCTTACAATAAATTAAACAATCATTTTGTATATTTAATTAATTTTTGAAGAAGCTCGAATTATATAATAAATTAACTCTTCTTTTTGTTTTTATACTGGATAATATTTGTCAATAATACTTAAAATGAAGAAAGTTTTTTAAATCATTCCTCTGGTAAGTGTATATACTTCTCAAATGATGAAATAAAACTGATACCTTCACTTAGGCATTTTTATTTATTTTTTCAGGTAGAGAAAATTTCGTAATTTAATTAAATTTGTTTATCAATCACTAGAAATAAACAAGTTTAGGTGTAAAAATTGATGATGTTCAACAGAATAAATAACTTAATCAAATTGTAAAATTTGTATTTTAGGTTATTTAATCTTTATAATCGAACGATTGATTTCAGATTTTATTCATTATTTTCTTCAAGCAATATTCTTAGTCAAAGTACTGGCAATTAAGAAGATTCAATCACACCCAAAAATTAAAATTATTAGCAAAATTAATACATTAGGAAATGATAATTATTGATTAGCAATAGAGAACAAAATTAAAAATAAAGCTCTAATAACATTTAAAGAAATTTGATTCATAAATAATGTTAAGTTTTTATAATGCAAAATTAATAGTGTTTCTCGGTGTTAAATTAAACTCCAAAGAAATTAATTCTTCAGAATTTTATAAATAAAATGGATGATTGATGTATTACCAATGCTAAAGTATAAATAGATATTAACTAAAAATATAATAATAAATACTAATAGAGTTAATTAATCTGCAAAATGTTGAGTTTTTGAGTTAAAATATCATAAAAAATGATAATTGTGTAAATATATCTACCATTATTACCAAAATTATAAGTAAGAATAATTTTCTATTCTACCTTAAATTATAATTATTCATAGAAATTGCTAATCGAAAATGATAATAAGCATTAATTAAAGAAGTCAATAAAATGTATTTGGTGCATTTGTTGATTATGCTTGTACCACTAAATTTAGACTGATGATGAATCAACTTTCAATCTATACTAACAACAGAAAAAAAAGTCTAATTGTGTATCAAATTAAACAAAGAATCAAATCAGAATTTTTATATTAATAACCTGAACAGACATGATGATTTAGGTTTAATTAAAATGGAAATAAACCATAATTATTTTATTGTGATAAGGAAAAATACTATGAAATTACATGCACTTTCATATGTAATTCATTTGGGTAATGCTATTAGTATTATATTAATAAATCTTAAAGTAATCCATTATAGTGGTTTATAAAAGGATCGTTTGAAAGCTTATAATTAAAAATCTTCGTTGACCTAATTAATTTTTTATCTAACCATATTATTATACAAAGATATAAAAAACTTTATCATTTATGTTCCATACAAATAAAAATTCAATTATTATATATTAATTAATTTAACAAAAGCAGCCTTTTTTGGTAAAGTAATTGGAAATAAGGTTTAATTTATTTCTCCCAACTTCTATTATTAATGGTGGTGATAAAACTTATACTTACAAGAGAAACTGATAGGTGTCTAACAAAAATGGGAAAAATTGTATTAAGATAACAGTAGCTAAAACTAATTACAATTAGTTTATAGATCTGCTTTTGTTTTTAATACATGTTTATATAATAGTAATATTGCCTCAAAAGTATTAGGATATGATTCATTCAAAACAGGAAAAGAACCTAAAACTAAAACGAACAATTTCATTATTTGTGCAGTTGCTGACACATGGATTCTAGAGGATGATATCATCTATACCAATTATAGAGTGTGAAAGATTTCAAAAAACTAATTATTTTAGAAATTGATCTGTAAAAATATTGGAATTACCTTAATGATTACATAAAGTAACTTTGTTTGTCAACTAATTGAAGTAAAAAGTGTATGGACATATAATCGGGTAATATGAGTACAAAAGAATTAACAAACTATAATGCATTTACTTGCTTGTTCTATAAAATAATAAAGTTGTGTTTTAAGATTGATAAATGTTAATATTAAATAGCTTTTTTATGCTAATTAATATTAACATTTGTTTTAAGACTCGAAATGCAAGTTACGATGTATCTAAAAAATTATTATATTAAATTAGGTGAAGATAAAACAACATTAATAAGAAATAGAAATTTTGGGTTTGCTTAGATTATAAAGGCAAAGAATATGCTGAAATGATTCTGAATAGATTCTTGAAGAAATTATCGAGATAAAAGTTGATTTGATTCGACTATAAATATTAGCTTTGTGTTAAATGACAATCCTATTTAACAAATAAATCATATACGATCTAAAAAGGATGATGATTGAAATTACACAAAAAGTGAATATATGTTATTTTGCTATCAAAATTTATTTAAAATAAAGACAAGAAAATAAAATGAAGTAATAATCCATAAATTATACATGTAGCTTATATGTAAATATAACTAACAATAAATGCAGAGCAAATAACACCCAAAGATTTCTTATAAAATATATAAATAAATTTAGATTTTTAAATTATTGACTTTTGTATTAGAAATAGCTAATTATGACTTATCTTTATTTATCGATAATAATATTAAACTAATAAAAAATGCACAATTTGTAAAATAATATGATGCTTTGAATTAATGCATTTTTGAATTACATAACCTATTTTCTATTTACAATAGAATATTTAAGATAATTTTGAAGTTATTTTAATGATTATTTATTCATAATATATTCTTTAAAATATTTGTTAATAATTCGTTATTAATTATAGAAATAATAAACCAAATAATTAACAGAATGGTCTTTAGAGACCAAGATTTGTTATTCAAAGAATTTCAAATCCTTTCAAAGTCTTCTTTGTCTTATACTTGTACTTGGTATGACTGTAGTAGTCATCCCGAGAAGAATCTTTTAAACTTTCCTGATGAAGATATTTAAAAATTACTGTAGCTTAAATCTGATGGTCAAAGTAATTAATATGAATATACTTTAGGTTTGAAATTATAAATTATAATTTTTATATACCATATAGAGACATTTGAGGATAGTATGCTAGTAGATAAAAAAATTTCATAATTTATTTGAGTAACTTGAGCATAGTAACGATTTGAAATTCTTTGAATAATAATTTGGAATTTGAGGATCATTCTAATCATTAAAACAAAATAATGATATATATATTTGTATTAATTGTTTTATAAGTTAAATCATTCATTGTTCTAATTATCATAATTAAAAAATTTAATTGACAATTTATTATTCTTGCTTTATAATAAACAAATTTTTTTTCAAGTAACTTAATTAGGAATTTAGAAGAGAAAGGAAGTCCATTTTAGAATTACAATAAATTCATAAGAACTATCTCTTTCAGTATTATTGAAAATCAAATTCATCAGTAGATTTACCATTTAATAGATGAATAGCAATTTCATAATTTTGTAGAAATTTATCTATCTCAACTTTAGTTTCTCTATAATCTCTAATGATTTAATCTTTTTCAGCAGTATTTCTTGCAAAAAATCATCTAATAGCTTTAGTATATTATTCATTCTGAAGTTTCTTGTACTTTTAATTTTAGTATGGATTTATCAAATATCACCAACTTATTAATATTTTCTACTTTTCTTTAATTACTATTTGCCTTCTTTAAATCTTATATCTTCTAAATTTTATGGAGTTAATATTAATTATTGATTTTTGTTATATTATTTCATTTACTTTCAAAAAATAAAGTAATCGCCAGTTCTTTATTTCTATTTATTTGTAAATAATTTTACGAATAGATTCTTCTTTTCCTCTTTTTCTACATGTAGATTTATTACTTCACATTCATAAAAATAAATGTAAATTATTTATTTTAAATTGATTATATTATTTTTTATCTTTTTATGTATTTCGCTATCAAACTCACTAACCTAAGTTATTATTTGAAGTTGAACTGATTTTTTACAAAAGTGTATAATTGATATAATTCATGTTAATTCTAAATAATATTTTTTTCTTTATAAAAATCAGAAATTATATCAAAATTTCTTTCCTTTCTTAATTTTATTCTTTTTCAAAATCATAAGTTATTTTTTGTTTTTCTTGATATATTTCACTTTAATGTCAAACTAAAATTATCAATTTTACCTTCCCCTTAAAGAGATTATTGTAATTAAGTTTTTTGAAAAGTTTATTTTGAATTTCATCTATTAACTTTTTAACTTTATTTCAGAATTAGTTTAAATAAGGTTATTTAATCTTGATTTATAGATAAAATTAGCTGAATTTTCATTCCCACGATCTCTTATTAATTAAATTTCTAAGATTATTTTTCTGAATAAATTTAATTTTAATAATCTTAGCAATGAGTTACTCTTTTGAAAAATAAATTTCTTTTAAATTAATCCATTCTATCTTTCTATGCTTAATAACTTTGAAGTAAAAAATAAATCTCTTAAATTTTTTTTTTTCCATGAAAATTTTCAATATTTTTTCTATAAATTTTAGTTATGCAAGTATTATTTCTTTAATATAATTATTTTCTTTGATTTTTATGATTTCTAATATGATGGTATATATTATTATATGTTCCAATTCCAATTCAGATATCTTTGTTTAATTAACATAAACTTATCCATAAATATTGATTTAATTCCTGAAATTTGTGATAAAAAAATAAAATTATTGTATATCTTGAATTAATATACCAATATCATCAATTGAGAGAAAATTGGAATAGTAATAATTGAAGTTTAGAAATGCCAAAAACAATCCTTTCAAATAAAAAGTGCAATAGCTTGTCAAATGATATATTACATCATGCAGTATTAACTAAGAATCATAAATAATAAATAAGCCAATGATTGCTCGATAGGATTATAAAGATGATAGTTTATTAGATGGAAAAAAGTTTAAAAAAATAGATTTGAATATTTTTATTAAGTTTAAATGTCAATATGAGTATGTGATAAATGAGATATTGAGTTCTAAAAAAAAAGATATATTTATAATAAATTTTAATCTAAAATATCAGCATAAAAAATAATTAAAAGACAAAAAATAATTTTTAAATTTATTAAAACAAGATTTTTGTGGCAAATTTAGATTTGAAAGTCAAGCTTATGTATAGATAAATAATTCAAGTTAATTCAATAGACATTAATCTTTATAAAAATATTAGGAAGTTTATTAATGGAGATAAGACTATAGCTCTTATAGAGAAAATAATGCATTTTATTCAATCTCTAATTAATGTTCAACACTTAAATTTACATTGTATATTTCTTAATTAATTAAATAACAACTGATTATATTGGATCATTTTAAATTAAGTTTTAGAATTTTTAATTTCTATTATTTAATTAATCCCCTTTTGAATTAGTCAAGAAGAAAATATTAGTTTGCTGTTTCAACTTTATGGAAATAAATGGATTGAGATCTGTAATAAAAGAATACTTAATGATAAAAATATTTTGCATTAAATTTTAGTAAGGTTGAAACTGAAGAAATTGTTATTTAGTAGATAGTGAATACATTACCTGCCTAATTAATTGTGAATTTTTAAACAAATAGATTAAATATTATCAATTCCAAAAATAGTTTAGGTTTTTGGATTATTTAAAAAGTGAAGCATAATACTTTCAATCAATCAATCCTATGTTTAATAAAATGGATTTCTAATATTTTTCTAATTATTTAATGGTTGAATTTAGCAGATGAATAATTAAGATGATATGTAAAATGCTAAGATGATCCTTGTGATAAAAAATATGATTTTTAAATGGGATCTAATTTATGTTTTTTACAAAATTGAACAATTTTCAAATGAAGAAGACAAAATTTAATTTAAAAAGTTAACATTCTAATTGATCATTTGTTTCTCAATTTAAATTTTGCTCAAGTAATAATTCATTTGTTTATTATAGTTTGAGAAGGAAGAGTTTTATTGATAACATATTAAATAATTAAATAAGTCTATTATTAATGACTAATGAATAATAAATTAAATAGATTATTAGAAGAATTATTAGACAAAAATAATAAAGTTTGTTTAATTAATTACAAAATTTGTAAAACTTTAGTGCAAATATTTTCTCAGCTATGTCTTTTTGTTAAAGATGTTGAACTGGAGAATTAAGGAAATAGTATTATAATCTAATAACTTTAGCAGCTATTATAAACACCTGGAAATAGCTTGTATTTATTTAAATGACAACTTAAAATTTTTTACTAAAACAATAATTTTGGATTCATAAAGTATATTAAAAATATTTTTTTTTTATCTTCTAAATTAATGATGTCAAAATATATAAAATTAATTGAGGAAAATTTGTTAATTTCTTTCACTACTAATGATTTATCTAATAAGAAATAAGAGAAAATTTAAATGATTGTGGTAACTGTTTTGTAATTTAAAAAATTTATTTGTATTTGACATTAATATAAGATTTAATTGAAAAGGTGATATCCTAAAATAAAAAACAATAATTTTCAAATTCTAATACCATTGCTTTTATCTAATTGTAGAAAATAATTAATTCATTGATAATTTTTAATTTTTTACTTATTTATTTTGAATATTTTTCAAACACTGAAGATAATTTATGAATAATTTATTTATAATACTTGATTCAAATTAACATCTTTAATATAATAATTATTATAAATACTTCCTAATTGATTAATATTCACTTAAGCTGAATCATTTTTTTAAATAATTTAAAATAATTATTAAGAATATAAATCTATCAAAATTTATATAATGTAAAAATTAATATAAAAATTTTCATTTGAAAGCGTTAAAATGTTAGTTTTTGGACTAGCTAAAATTAGATTAATCAATGACTGAATCACTTTTTTCAAGTTTATATATGATTAAATATTTTGCATATTATATGATAGAAATAGATACATGATTTATTATTTCTAATAGCTTTCTACTTTATGACTATTAGTTGAATTTAAAAAGTAAGAGATATAAGAGATATATGAGATTTAAAGGAACGAAATCTATATTAACATATATTGTATTAAATTTCCATAATAAGCTATGATTAGTAGAAATTGGGTTAATTAATTTGAGATGAAAATTATAAAATTTTATTGCTCGAGTTAAAAATTGATCAAATAATGTTAATATAGTAATTAAAAAAATATTTAATAATATGATAATTCAAAGTATCAGACTTAGGTAAAAGTATAAATATAGACAGAGATCGAGATATTGTTCATTGATTTTATATTTCTTTTATTAGTACAATTAGTCAATTATTTATATATGGGGGGGGAAATTATAAATGGAAAGAATGATGATGAATTTGAAGGAAGCTTATAAATTATGTGAAGATTCTATTAATTAAAAGGATAAAATTAAGAAGAATTAAAATAAATTAATATATTTATTAATTTATATAATTCAAGATATTTTGTGATTTAAATCAATCAATTTAAGAGCATTTCATATAAAATGATATCTTAATCATAAGCAATTTAAAAGATTTTCAATAATGTTGGAGTTGACAATAATCTGATTTAAGATTATTTTGGTTATTTTTAGATTGGTCTTTCAAAAATTGATTAAGAATTTAACACATTTGAATGTTTTTTATTACATTTTGCTGTTGCTTTTTAATAATCTGGATAGTTGCTTTGTAAAATGGAAATAGAAAAAGTTTAATCATTAAAATAGCATGGCCACGATGTTAAAAAAGTCAATTAGAAAATATTTAAATCAAGTGATATAGTTTAATCAAAATCAAGTTCTAGAATGACTCCAAGTTCAGATATTTCAATTTTCTTTTTAAAAGATTGATTAATTGAATGTTATGATGATTAAATATAGTTGTTTGCTATAAATGAAGGGAAATTAACAGTATTAATGATAGATTAGCTACATTATTTTTAGCTATCATATAATAATTAAAAATCTCTAATTCCCCATGCTTCATTATTTGCAACTTCATCTAATGTAGTTTTCATAATAAGGTTGATAGAAGATTAATCATGTAGAAATTCAAAATCCAGATTGTTTTTATAAACCCTTGTCTAATATTATCCACAAGTAGTTAATACTCCATTTGGACCAAATTCTTTCTGAAAAACGAGATTTCCTTATTCTAATACTTAAAATATTTCAGCATCCCAAGATTCAAATTTCCAAAATTGTAATTTGATTCTTATTTTTGTATGTTAAGGGAGATTGTATATAAAATTAATTGATGCATCCTTAGCTAATAAATTGAATCCACCAACAAGATCAATATTATCACATTTTTAAAAAGGAGATTAATTATTATAAATATTTGAAATAGTCCATCCATCTTAAATTATAAAATCACTAGGATTAAAGAATTCTCTTAAACCATCAATCCATTTAACTATATTATATTTTATAAAATAATACCATCTACACATTCTGATCCATCTAAATAATATCCATTCTAACAAATATTACAATTATTTTTGTTTGGTCCAAAACATTCAAGACATGTTGTATAACATTTTATTATATATAATCGAAATCCTCTTAATCCCCAAGATCCATTTGTTGAAACAATATTAGAATTCATTTTAATTTATGCACTATTAGATTTGTGAATGTTTATTAGATGAATATTTAATATCTTCTCTCCGCCATTAGTATCATCACATAATTAAATTATTTCAACTTAATTAAATGTTGTTGTAAATATAACTTATCCATCAAGAGTTATTGTAAATTAATTATTAATCCAAATATCGAATTTCCATAATTGAACTTATAAAATCAATTAATAATGTGGAATCAAAATTGCAAATTGTTTCGATAACTATTTACTTCCAGTTATCTTTCCAACTAACTCAATATTTACACATGTATTTGTTGTAAGTGAATTCTAATTATCAAGTGTCCATCCATCAAAATTATAATTACTCCACCAATTTGATTCTAATTCTACATATGATAAACATTCGTCAGGAGTATCATCATTACAAATTACACAACCTGGTGAACAAGATATATATTCAACTTTAAAATCTCTAAAACCCCATGATTCCTATAAAATTTAAATTATATATATACATTAGCTACACCTTCATTAAGAGTTGTTGTCATAATAATACTAAGTGTTGGTTATTTATGTTCAAAGATAAATTCTAAATTTACTTAATCTTCTATAAAATCATAATTGCCTGCTCCACATTTTTAAACTCCTTCAAAACCCCACTTTCTTATATAAACATAATCATCAAGAAATAAGTATAAAAATTCTAAATCCCAACTGTCTATTCTTTCAATTTTTATTATTAATAATTATTACTTCATGAATTAAAGGGAAACCCGCAATTTGAAATGTGATGCAATAGTAATTAATTTTGAAACTTTTGTCCCTTTTCCAAATGCATTAAAACCTCCAAATAATGACACTCCTCCACAATCACTTATCTATTATCCATATGAACCTTAAACCCACCACCCTAAATTATAAACAATTAAACCTTCATTATTATTTATTGTTGTTGCAGTAAATGCTGTATAGGCTGTATTCCAATATTCATTAGCATTTAAGTTGACTGAACATAAAATCAACACTAAAAACTTTAACATGTATGAGTAAAAAATTATATATTAAGGTATTAATTATATATAACCATGATTTAATACAATTTAACTTTTAATAAAACTTTATTTTGAATTTATCCAATAATTTACATTATTTATTGAATAATAATAATCAATAAGAATTCTTAGTTATTATAAAAACATTAATTTCATTTTTATGCGTTAATTCAAACTTTCTATATACATTCTAAAATAATAGTTATAATGAAAAATCTAAGTATCTCTTAATCATATTAAAAGCCTGCCAAAATGAATAACATTGATTTATTGATCTTTTGATATAAATGCTTTGTCTTATGAGGTTAGGACACTAAAAAGATTGATACAAACAATGGTCAGAAAGGTTTTTTCAAGAAATTATAAAAAAGTTATTTAATAGCAGACAGAATTAGAGTCTAATTGAAAATTTGCAAGTTTTCAAAGAGATTATGTTTTGTGAAAGTAAATTATACATTCTTCCATCAAAGAACATTCTATTTTAAAGTTTTTAAACATTTGATTATTATCTACTATGTCTAAATTTTTCAAAGAATTTTACTTAATTTTTGTTGATAATAAATTTAAAATTTAAACCTTGAATGATAAATAATCTATATTATATTAATTAGTTGATAACCACAATATACTTTTTAAATAAAAAATAAAATTTTGAAAAAAAATTTGTAAATGAAAAAAAAAACAAATTTTTCGTTTGTTGTTATTTAAATCTGAAATAAAAACAAAAAAAAATTATTAATGATATATCATTACTATTTTATGATATTAAATATATTTTATTACAAATATGAATATATTTATTCAAAGCCTGATAATCTTTAAATTTAAAATTTATGTAATTTTTATTTATAATTTCATCTAAAATATTCAAATAAAACAATACATCTATTATATTAAAAATAAATATATAAGTTGATTTTAAATAATTTAAATTAATCTATTTATTTATATAAATACTTCATCGTTCCGTTTAAGGATGCTTTAAAAATTTTAAATCGCTATTTTATATTTGTTTTTATAAATTTAATTTAGAAATCTAATAATTAGAACTAGAAAGCAATAGTTAAAATAAGCTTCTTCAATTAATAAACTCATTTATTATTATCGTTTTAAAATTGCCTAAAAGTTGTTTCTTAGTCATTTTAATTAATCCTTTTTAAATATTTAACTTGTCAAATAAATATGATTAGATCCAGATTCATATTGAAATCATTTTATTGTAGTTTTAAAAATTTATTAATATTCGTTTGAAATTATTATTATTTCTAAAATAAATTCTATCTGAAAATTTAATTAAGCCGAATTAAAAATTTCTGGAACTATTATATTCATAAATTATAAACATCCACAAATATAAATAATAATATTGTGTTTAATAGTTTTATTAATTTTTTAGTATCTTTTAGATATTTCATATTTTTTGATAAATCCTTAACAATTAAATTATTTACAGAGATCAAATAATTGATTCAAATTTAGCACCCATACTTTTATTATAATATCTTAAATAGATATTACTAATTCTAATCATCTATTTTCTGTCAAATAGCTCAATATTTTGCACAAATAGTTGATTGGTTATAAACTATCATAGATTATTAAAATTATGATTTTTATACAAATATTAGAAAGATTTGAAGAAACCTAAATTAATTGTATGAAATTATCTGCATTTAATTTTGAGTTTATATATTGTAACAAGAGTTTTTTCTCAATGATTGTGATTTATTGAAAATTCTGGTTTATAATTTAGTTAAACACGTTTTATTTGATAAATTAATTGTTTGAATTCAAATTTAATTATCAATTTAATACTTCATAATCAAAATCTTATGTTTAACATACTTATTAATTAAATACGTATGTAGAGATTTTATATTATAATGATTATTAATATTTGTATTTTAGTCAAAATCCAGACTTATTATTATCATTTAGTGAAACCTAAGCAATAGATGGCAGCTTTTTATGTCTAATAGGATTATTTTCCAAAGTTTCTTCTGCTTTTCTATTTTGTTGCAGTGATCTAAAGGATATTCAATAAAATAGTTACTATTTATCTAAAATTTTGGATGTATAAGAATTTCTTTATGAACTAAAGAGAATTTCTGCTTAGTAATTTATAGGATTTTAATTTTCTAACAATAATTTAGATATTCTTGAGCTGAATGGAACATTTTCATTTTATTTGTTTGAGTTTTCATTGGCAAGTTATAATGATTACTCTTTATAATTAATAATTCTTTGGGCTTGGGGTATTAAGAATTTTTTCAGCTTATGAAAACGCTTTGCCACACGAATCCTTTGTTCTTGTCTATTTTTTAACATTTTATTAAAAAAGCGAATTCTATTGATAAATGGAAAACATTTTAAAATCTTTCCTCTAATAATATCTAATTTTTCTGAATATTAATCTGCTTTTTCTTTAATTAATTAATTTACAATCTCAATTGTAATATTATAAACAAAATTTAAATTAATGATTCCAAGAACAAAGAAATAAGGAATTTAAATCTCTATTAAATCTTATTGATATGCTACAAATAAACCTATTGCTAATCCAATAGAAATTAAACATATTGAGGTAGAACTATAATCTAATTTATTGAGAGTATTTGATTTATAAGGAAGAGATCTGTTAGTTAATTCTAGATAAATAGCTAAAATCAATAAAATAATTGTTGCTTTGATTACAATACTATCTTAAAAATAAGTTAAAAATATGATCATAAATTCTTTTTAGGCTATTTTAATAACTTCCCAATAAAATACTGTTTTTGTATATTCATTATATAAATAACCGAATTAAAGTCTAGTAGATTTATTATCTAAATTTTGTCTATTTTTAAAGAGTTCATAAAGGAAGAAAGTAGGTACCAAAATTGCAAGGAAGAGTAACATAGGAAAACATAATTATAACATCCATTTTTGATGTTCATAAGTATCAAATCTATAAGCAACATTAGCCAAAATCCATTTATAACCGGATATTTGACGATAAGAGATAAGTTATACAAATCCACCTATTAAACTTGGTTATAAGTAAATGTACATATAAATAAAAGTAGTTGTAATAACACTTTTATTAAGGATCACCATTTTTAATTAGGCTGCTATAGTGTAGCAAAGAAAGAAAAAGTTAATATAAATAAAAGGCATAATAATTTACCAAATCATTCTTGCATAATGGATTTCAATATTGAACATTGAAGTTAAAAAACAATCTAATGAATATGACATAGTTTAGATAGGTGATGATGCTATATTAATTGTACTTTCTAAATTTGAAGGTAACTTCAACTAAAAGGTAGCTATAAATCCAATAATTTATAAGTAATTGGTCAGCATCTTAATTAAGATAGCTGATTCATTTTAATTTTATTTTACTACCAAACCTAACTTCTTAATTTAACAAAACTACACATAAACTTCAATAGCTTTCAAGGTGCTAGTCACAGATAATAAAATAGTAACTAAGGTCCTATAAATATTATATATTAATAACATACCATATACTTACTAAAGTAATAATAATTGAATTTTTTTATTAATCTAAACATGACCCACAAGAATATTATTAATTAACTGAGAAATAACCATCTCCTCTCAAATTATATATGTCACATTACTCACATAAAGCTCCAAGATGTCCCATAAAACAAGATTAATCTCCTTCCATCCAGCCACCCAAACAACTTTATGGCAAATTAAGACAATAGGCAATTTCATTATTATTAAAATATGGTCTCCAAAACCCAGGTCTTAAATTTAACAATGGAGATTTAACACTTATTGTAGAAACATCGTCTTTTAGTTCACATTTTAATTAATTCAATTATAAACTAAATAATCCTTAATTACCATCACATAATTAACATGAAAAGTCTGTGTAATTTTTTATTTCCCCATATTGACAAGATAATGATTTAACATTTAATCTTAACTTATAATTTTTATGGGTATCGATAATATCATAAGGATAATTTTAATTATAAATAGGTAAAACTATTGAACTACAAATAAATTGTAATTATAACTTAATTTATTCAGGTAATTCATTATCAAAATAAATTATTAATTAATCTAAATTGTAATCTTATGTTGTAGAATTAAAAGTTATATTTATGATATTGGTGTAATTATTAGTGAAATTGCTATTTTATTCTTCTTATGATGAATTAATCATTCTGCTTTGTATTTCACAAAAAGTGCCTTCTAAATTTTTTATTACATTTTTATCTTTGTTTACTGCCATAATTCTAAAATTATGTTCAAATGAGGTGTACTCCCTTGTAAAAGTAGAAAACTTTTAGTAATTCTAGATTTATTAACCACTAGGTAATAAAATATAATTGTTTTCTTAAAAGGTAGAAAAATTTATTTATTCAATTAAAAGTTAATCTGTTTATTAAATAATTTTTGTATTGAAACAAGAACTTTCATCTTCTAGTGTTAATGTTAGACCAGAAGGAATGGAAGAACAATCATTACCAAATTGTCTTCCAGTATTATCAATGATTTTTGTTCCAAGTTTAGTGTAATTAAGTTCAGGTTTATCTTATAAATATATTCCACCTCCTATTTATGCTTCATTATTTTGAATTTGACTATTTATTATAAATACTTATTCATTAATAGCATAAACAGCACCTCCAAAATTTGAAGCATTATTAAATTAAAATATACTATTGGAGATCATTACTTTTGTGTTTTCAATGTTTATGCAACTTCCATTATTAGCTTTATTATTTAGACATATGTAATTATGAATTATAAATTCAGAAACTAAAAACCCTTGATTATTTTCTTCATTTAAGAGAATTCTTTAGAGTTTCTATTAATCCTTCTTTATATTTATGCATCCTAAATTTCCACAGGTAGAGTTTATTACTTTTAAATCCTGAATACGTTAATTTTTTAAAATTCCTTTAATTTCTGAAAAATAAAAATAAAACAATCCATATTAACATGATGTACATTTTATTGAAATTAAATTAGAATTTTCAATATTCAATTATGATTCTATTGTAAGTCCCAAAAATAAGAATAATCCTGCATTTAATGAATTTTCAATTTACCTCTCTTCATTTTTCATTAGTTCTTCAACATAGTCAGTTATACATTACCCAAAATCAATCTCTGTACTTTAAGAAAGTTTTGGCAAAGTTAGAGGAGTATTACTTTCTTAACAAAAAATCTAGATGTTTCTTTCTTATCTATTTATTGTTTAACAACTGTGATTTGTAATTTATGAGATAATTGTTATATTTTATACTTCTAAATTTTAAAATAATAGAATATTTTTTTGATCTAAATATACTTTATATATTTACATTAATTTGGAATTATTGATACTAGATTATTGATAATAAGACTGTTGATTATTTTAACTTTTAAAAATTTGAGTTTAGCAGCATTATTTATTATAAAAGCTGATTCAAAAATTAAATTTTCAATTCTAAAATTTTAACATATTACTTTTGAAGCTGAATCTATGTAAAATAAAAAGCGATTATTTAATAAGGTTAATTATTCTAAACTAGATAAAGAGTTATATTGATTCAAATAATTAATAAAAGCCTTTTTATTATTATTAAAGAAAATATTATTAATTTAAACTTCTATTTAAGATTTTGAATAAAATGAAAACTCTAAATAAGCGACAGATCCATTTTTGGCATAAACATTACTTAAATTAATTTCTTAAATATTAATAGATATTTATGAACTTTGACTTTTTAAGTATAAGAATCCTCCAAATTGTTAGGCATATAAATATTCTATTGTTACTTTAAAAATGTTCACAATTAGAGATAAAGATGAAGTACCATCGAAATAAATAGCTCCCCCATATCCGTTATTGGTTTAAAATTTAGTTGATAAATTGTAAAAAGAAGAATTAAAAATTTTAACTATTGTATTTTTTTAACCTATAATGTGAAATGCACCTCCAAGAGATCCTTATGATTATTCAAATTTACATTCAGATATATTAAGCTCTTCAACCAAAAATTAACCATTACCTGTTAAAGATTAAATTTAAAAAATCCAATTTATATCTTCAATATAGATTGTTTCTGATTCTAGATTTTCCCCCCATAAGATTTATGGTTAAATTAATTAATAATCAAAAATGTTATTAAATTAGAATATATTTTCAGACATCGTTAATTTTAAACTTCTAATTTAGATAATACTATGTGTGCTATTCAAAACTATATTTTTATAAAAAGTAGAATTATTTATTATCACTGTTCCTAAATAAGAATTGATATTTAAAAGTAATGCTGAGACCAAAAAGGTATCTTAGAAATATTCATGAAGGATATTACCATAAAATTTACTGTTGTTAAATGTTATAAGAGTTTCTTGACTTGATTCAATAAAAATGATTGCAGTTAATTATTATGACTTGGTAATAAGTAATACATTTTAATCAATAAATAAGTTTGAAATATAAATACTTTCAAATTGTTATTGCTTCTCTTCATCTTAAGATTTATAATATAATAATGGATAATTATATGATTATGATTAAATTATAATTAATCCATCAATCTCTAGATTGAGAATAGAAATGAAGAAAAGTGAAGTTAAATAGTAATTACTTTTTACTTTTGACAATTAACAATCCAAATATTAATGCAATCCTTTAAATTAAAATTGTTTACCCTAAGTTATTTTACTGTTCATTAATATTAATTTTTAAGCTCCAGTTATACAAATCTCAATAATCCCATAACCCCTTTCTATTATAAGCTCCTCAATTTTCAAATTGTCCATTTTTAAATATACTAATTAAATTTCTATTGTATTTAAATTTAAATCACTAGAGACATTAGAAATATGATTATTCAATAATTAAAATTTTTAGATCTATAAATTTGAAAATTAGTGATTCCACTTATTTAAACAAATAAACTTTACTGATTAATCATAGACATTTTGATCGAAAATTGTATTTTTTATAATGAAATTTTAACTAGTCTCTGAGAGTTAATCAAAATTTACTAACACATAAGTAAATTCTTTGAATTCACAAAATTATACTGTAAAATCCTATATATAAGCATTATTATTTAGAGCAATTAAGGTAGAATTATAAAAATTAGAATTCAGGCAAAAAAACCCTGAAATTAATATTGAGTTAAATGAATATAGATTAAATATTTTTAAGCTATCTTTAGCCTAAATTTAAAGTTTGAGGTTATTAATAATAATACTTCCAATATCAGTATTATTAGTATCTAATAAAGTTGTATTAATCAGTATAGCTTCAATTTAAATGTCTTTAATTTCTACATAGTCTTTATCTTTAATTAAAAATAGAAATGTTATTTAATTTTCAAAAATTGAACTGAAAATTTAGACATTTTAAATAGCTATGTTTTTTATGTAATTTGTTTAATTTAATAGGAACAAATAATTAACATATTTTTGTTTAAAATCTATTATTTTTGTATTATTAACGAAAAGTTTTTAAGTATTTTCAAAAATTATTTCTGATTAATCATAATCTAGAGAAGTTTGCTAAAAGATGATTTTATTTAAGATTATAGATTATTATTTAGCACTTTAGAATAATATAGTTTTTTATCGATTGTTTGATGCAGGTTGAAAAGTGGCTCCTTAAATATCAATATTCTAAAAGTTGAGAAAGGTAAACATTCTTTCAAAAATAAATATTGTTTGGTAATCGAAAATCATATTTAGATTAACAGAACTAAAAAATAATAATTTATTACTTGGCAGAAAAAATATTTTGGCTAAACTATTATTAAATAGTTGCATTTCCAGTGATGATACAAATTTATGATTTTTTACTAACAATCTATATTTCAATAGTTTTTATCAATTATTAATTAGCTTATGAATAGAACTCATCCTTTTCAAACTTAATGATTAAATATGATATATACTTCTTTAAAACTAGAATCTGAGATTAAATCTTAAAGTAAAATATTCTATTGTCTAAATAGATTTTATTCATCAACTGTTTACTTTTAATTGAATTCTTCCCAATATAGAGATTCATCACAATGTAAATAGATTTTAATGAATAAATTCCTTTAGCAAGGTTTACTACCTAATGGACATTTCAAATAACTGCCTAAATCAAAATCAAATTCATAGATATCATTTTCATAGCTTTTAAGACATTAATATGTAAATTCTAAATATTTTTAGTTGTTAAATAAGGGATTGATTTATTTAATTTAATACATTTCTCTTTATCTACATAAAGCACAATTTTCTGGACATTTGACACAAACATTATTTGAAATTGTCAATCGTCTGCCTTGAAATTCTGTTTTACATCTAATACATTAATTAAGGCCATTCATATAATTACACTCTAGACATGTTTCAGAACAAGCTGGAATACAGAGATTGTTTATTAATTAATAACCTTAGAGGCAGATTGTACAACTAATAATGTAATCATTAATATCTTAACTTTAAGCATATTATTAAAAGAAATGATTCTTATTTTAATTAATAACCACTTGATAAAATGCTCTAATTTAAATTTTCCATGAATCTTCTGATATAATTAATTACTATTAACATTAAAAACAATTCAACTCTTTTGGACATTAATAACATTTGCCAGTTATTCTGTGTGCATAATAACCACTATCACATTCTAGGCAGAAATCTACCATAAGATTTCTCTCTTTAAGACAAGTAACACAATTTTTATTATAACTTGGACATGTAAGGGAGTATTAAACAATTTTATAGACATCAGATGGCTGATAATCCTCTAAAATTATGCAATAACTCACTGTAAGACAACGATAATCATTTTCATTTGGAATTGTTATATAATCACCATCATCAAGTTGATAATGAGAATTTGAATCCACCATTTGCTATCTATCCTCTAAACTTTCTGGGAAATCATCAGAATTAGTACATGTGGCTTAAGAATATGAATAATAGCAATTTTCATCAAAGGACAATAAACATTTATTGATTTCAATTACAAATATATACCCAAATTTACATCGTCCACAATATATAACAATATTTTCTTAATCATATCTTGGAATAAAATATAAATCAATTGTATTTTAAGTTGGATCATTTTTTATCACTTCAAATGCATAGAAGCATGAATTAATTTTATTTTCATTACAATTAACTGCATCAAAAGATATATAATACTTTGAATCATCAATACATTTGAAACATTTCAGATAGGATTATTAAATATTAGAATCATCATAAATTTAACAATTTTTACAAAAATTACCACATTTTATACATTCACCACTAACTAAAGAATGAAAATCTTAACAAGATAAACATTGAATTTATTTTAAAGTTGCATCATAATTACATGTTAAACAATTTGAAGGACAAGCCTTATATTCTCCATTTTTCTCATAAATTCCATCAATAATTTTTAAGCAATGTCCTAATTTATCTGTTTCTAAACAATAAATACTGGTAAACAAACATTCTCCATTAAATTGATAATAATTAGGTTTACATTTTACATATATAGATTATCCTAAATGGAGATGTTTATATTTAAAACAAGATTCTTAATCAATTTCAATGTTACAAAAATCAAGAACTCCTCTTTATAATATCACTTATCCATTTTCATCAATTATGTATAAATCATAATCTATTAAATTTCGTTCCTTATAATAAAAACCATCATCTCTTTCTATATATCTTGATAAAAGATCTGCAGTACAAATAGGTTTTAAATACCAATTTTCAGGATAATATTTACAATCTACACAACTGATTTTGCCATAATTATTTTAAGGACTTAATAAAAAATAAAGTATTACCATTATTAACAAATATTTTAAGTTAAATAGTTTGGTAAAATAAAGTATCCTTACTCACATGTAGTATAACTTTTCATCTCAATTTCATTTAATTAAACTGATTGAAAAATCAATTGAAATTCAACACAAATTGATTATCCATCATAATCAATATATCCATAATTGCATATACATTTATTTTATTCTTTTATATAATTACGATTTGATGTTGAAATACAAGACAAACAATTATCTTCAAATGGACCATTACAAGTTAGACAAGAATAATGGCAAGCTTTATAAAATAAAATAATTACCATTCAATAATATTGTTTTATCTACATTATAATTATATTCAAATTTTAAATCATATATTTGAGCATCAAGTTATTATTTTGTAAAATCATCTCCTCCTATAAAAAAATAAAATAATTAATCTGAAGGACCTGATAATTTCACTTTCTTTTCTACAAGATTCAATTCATTAAAAAATTAAACCTAAATTAATCTTCCTTCGTCTACATTTACAACTTCTGAACCTTATTCAAACTTTAAAAAATGCCATTATTGTAATCCATTATAATAGCTATCACGAACATAGAAATCATTTAAAATCTATATTTATAAATTATCGCCAATTGGTATTGGACCTCCAGCTGGTACATAAAATAAATTATTTAACACAATTAAACGACAATATCTAGTGTCTGTTTTTTTAACCTCCACCTACAATTTAAAAATACTATCTCCTATATTAGTATCCTTATTATAGTATTTCTAAGAAGCTATCCTAAAAACTAAGTAAACCATATCATCAATAACCTTAGAAAAGTCATATTTCATCCAACCAGAAATACAATATCTATTTCCAATTTGGTAGATTGTTGGTGTTAATAATGTATCTCCTTAAAATATTTTTAATCCCTTTACTAAATAAACTATTTACTCTTCTTAAATTTATTTTGGAACTATACAAAATTAAACTATATAATCAATAAAATTAAATTCCAAATAATTGAATCTTTCAATGAAAATTTTGGATAATTTTCCATTAAATTCATTTAAATTGAAACTTTCTGCAATCTGAATAAATTATTAGAAATTATTACCAAATCTTTTCCTCCAAAATATATTTAAATGGATGTTTAGGATGTTTAAGTTAAATCAAAGAATTAAATAAACTGTTTCTAATTTGAATTAATAATAAATTCTTAACTTTTAAAATTATAAACAATTGTAGTTAAAATCCAATGAGCTATATATTTTTAGGGAGAGAATACAAATTATTGAATTACTTGGGGAGTTTAATAAAAAACTAAGTTATGAAAAGCTAATTTTTAGGATAGACTGCTTGAAAAGTATCCAAGGACTAAATTTAATGATTCTTTTTTTATCAAAAAAAGAAACTATCCGTTTTCTGCCATTAATGAATTCCCTTATTCTTCTTAAGCCAATATCTTTGGTGATAACTATGGTATGCTATAACTCCAAAAACCAAAGCCAATAGAATCTCCATCTGCATTTTGAATGAAAGAATCAATATTGTATACATTTGCTTAATTTAAAGCATCATCATAAGAATTAAATGGGCAGGCATTTGATTATAAAACAACAAACTTTAAAATTAATGTTGCTTTAATTATGTTACTAAGTAAATTTAGGATGGACTGCATAAATATTATGATTTATTTTTAATTATGTATTTTTTGAAAAAAAATCAGAATAAATAGTACCAATAATAGGGCTGTCAAGAATTACATATTATTTCTACTAAAAAATAAAGTGTTTTCTTTTCAAACCATTATTAACCTAATTCAACCCCATAATATATTTACTTCGGATGAATCATCAAAAAAAGAAACATGTTGAAGTAAATGAAATATAACTTATACCCCTTTGACTTCCCATTAAGTTTAAGAAACAATTTTATAGAATAAAAAATTAATGGAGAGAAACTTTCATTTAATAAAAATATAAATTTGAAAAATATTTAATCCCTTCAAATTTCATTGATTCTTTTTTTAGAAAAGGATGACAATGAAACTAATCTTAAAGATAATGAGTTATAATTTTTTAAAATAAATCAACATAAGATAGCTCTAATCAAAGTGGAAAATTACAATATAAAAAAAATATCTTATAATATTAATATTGATAAAAGTCAATTTCCACCTTTGAATTGACTTGGAATATTAATGGGTTCTTCTTTTGGAAGGAGTTGTAGCATTCGAATAAAATAGATAATTGGACAAAGTTGTTGGTAAAAGAAATATAATTCAATTTATTTAAGATATATCCCATACATTAGGTTTATTTATCAATTTTATGATTGTTTTTGTTTGCTTTAATTTAAGAGATTACTAATTGAAAACTTTTTATGAAAACTTTTATTTTAAAGTTCCCATTTTAATAATAAGATGTTTTCTTTTTGAAAATTAATGCTAGTCTATTTAAATTAGCTAAATATTTATACAAATAGGATTAATGCTAAAAATGTTATAAAAAAGAACAATGTCAGGTTCGATGAGCTCTTTAATATACATATATTCCTACTAACGAAAATCGCAATAAATAGTATCCTATCTACCTACCTTATTATATTTCATATAGTATTCATCATTATTAATGACTAATTTATCTCCAAAATTCTCTCATAACTCTAAACATTTCCCAATTTATTAATCCTTATTCATTATATGATTAATAATTTTTTAAAATTAAAGTTTATCTATATACATATAAACTATAAAACCATCCAAATAGTCTTTCATTCATACCTTATCATTTATTTGAACTCTGCTTTCAATTTTTAATTTTTCAGTTTTATTACTTTTACAGATATTTACAGCTGTAAGTTTAATTAAAAGATATTAGGATTTAAATAATATGTGGGATTCTTATAAGAAACTTTTATTATAATATTACCAAATATTTCTTAATTATATTATTCATAAGCTTATGGATTATGAACCATGTATATATGCTATACAGAATTTAATTATCTACTTCTTAAGTATCTAAATAAACAAGCCAAACTTCATCTTTTGAAATTTCTAATATTAAGTTTTTGAGAAGAGGTTTAGTATTATCAGTAATTAAAGTAGTCAGATATTTGGTTAAATTCTATTACAGGGTCAATATTAGTTTATGTATAATTGTTTTTAATACTTCTACTAATTCAAATCTAATTTCTTTATATGAATATTAGATTGAATTACATAGATACATAACTTAATTTAAAAAAAAAATAATAATTGAATTTTATCTATAATCTAAGTTATATACAAGGTTCCTCTAACACCTCTAAACTATAATATAACAAAAATAAAGCTTTACCAGAAATATCAATAAAATAATCAATCCGAAAGCTGATCCATAATCGATTTTTTAAAATTAATATACACTGGAAGATGTATTTTAATAAATTTTATTAATTCAATAAATTTAATTAAAAATTTTAATTTTAAATTTTTTCAAAGTTAAAAAATTCAAGCACAGTTTAGATTTGTTAAAATGTAAATATTATTGAAAAAGCTCTCATTTATATTGGCTCATAAATCTATTCCATCAGACTGTTAAATATAATCATTTATTTTTCATTAAAATTAACAAAATGTTTATCTATTATAAAATAATATTCAAGATAACATCCCTCCAGATACTAAGCTTAAAATTTGACTTTTAGTAAATAAAATTTATTAACGACATTTTAGTTTTCAATGAAAAAGCCATAGCAATATTATTTGTAATATCTAAATAAATGGCAACAGTTAATTTATTTTATTATTTTATTATTTCATTCTTTTTAAAACTTACACTGTTGCCTTCGTCTAATAATTGTTTTGGAATATATAAAAATACTTTATATTTAAGAAGGCAAGCTTTTTAATAAAACAATATTATTATCTATGATATTATGGATATTGTGGTACTTATTAAATCTATTCCAAATTATTATTTAAGACTTTTTGTTTTATTCTCTCTAGATTATGATTCGNTGTATATATGCTATACAGAATTTAATTATCTACTTCTTAAGTATCTAAATAAACAAGCCAAACTTCATCTTTTGAAATTTCTAATATTAAGTTTTTGAGAAGAGGTTTAGTATTATCAGTAATTAAAGTAGTCAGATATTTGGTTAAATTCTATTACAGGGTCAATATTAGTTTATGTATAATTGTTTTTAATACTTCTACTAATTCAAATCTAATTTCTTTATATGAATATTAGATTGAATTACATAGATACATAACTTAATTTAAAAAAAAAATAATAATTGAATTTTATCTATAATCTAAGTTATATACAAGGTTCCTCTAACACCTCTAAACTATAATATAACAAAAATAAAGCTTTACCAGAAATATCAATAAAATAATCAATCCGAAAGCTGATCCATAATCGATTTTTTAAAATTAATATACACTGGAAGATGTATTTTAATAAATTTTATTAATTCAATAAATTTAATTAAAAATTTTAATTTTAAATTTTTTCAAAGTTAAAAAATTCAAGCACAGTTTAGATTTGTTAAAATGTAAATATTATTGAAAAAGCTCTCATTTATATTGGCTCATAAATCTATTCCATCAGACTGTTAAATATAATCATTTATTTTTCATTAAAATTAACAAAATGTTTATCTATTATAAAATAATATTCAAGATAACATCCCTCCAGATACTAAGCTTAAAATTTGACTTTTAGTAAATAAAATTTATTAACGACATTTTAGTTTTCAATGAAAAAGCCATAGCAATATTATTTGTAATATCTAAATAAATGGCAACAGTTAATTTATTTTATTATTTTATTATTTCATTCTTTTTAAAACTTACACTGTTGCCTTCGTCTAATAATTGTTTTGGAATATATAAAAATACTTTATATTTAAGAAGGCAAGCTTTTTAATAAAACAATATTATTATCTATGATATTATGGATATTGTGGTACTTATTAAATCTATTCCAAATTATTATTTAAGACTTTTTGTTTTATTCTCTCTAGATTATGATTCGTTTATTAATAATTTTTATTTTTTTTGAAGTTATATCAATTATATATTTATTTATAAAAAAATAAATTATTAATACATTAAATTTTTTTAATAGAAATAAATGATAATTTAAATTTTTTGTTAAAATGAAATAACAGTTCTGATTTAAAATGTTGATTTTGCTTAAGAAATAATATTAAATGGAATTAGTTGAATTTATACTAAGTGGATTTGATATAATTTAGTTTAGTTTAAATTAAGAATTTTCAAACTGGAAACATTTTATTTGTATATTCAAAGTATTGAAAAATGATAATATAACCATAACATTAATTTATTTATTTATTCTAACATAATATAATTAATTCTAAATAATATTAAATTAAAGAAAAAAAATTTAATTCTTGAAATATTCTATAGTTCTAGTTTTACATCAATGACTTCTATTTAAATCTCAGTAAAGTAGTCATTTTTACTTAAAAATCTAATGATTTATAATTCTATTTTAGTGCCTCTTTAAAAATATCTAAATAAGATTTTCTCATTGTCTTATTGATTCTAGAATTAGTCGATACTAAATATGTTTTGATATTCAACAATTTTATATCTATTATTTAATCGATTCATCGATATGGCAAAAAAATACTCTATTCTTTAGTTTTGTAATTTTTATTAATTCAATCTCATTTTCAAATTTATAAAAAAAAAAGATAGCAAACGTTCTTCTCAATATAAATCTAAAGTTGTAAAAGGTTATCTTAATAACTATAGAAGTTTAAATTGAAGTTTTATTCTCTTAATTTTTTCAGAAAACTTCATGATGAGAGAATTATTAATAATTTACTTTTTAAAAGATAACATGTTTTTCAGAACTCAATAACAGTATAAATCTTATTAGCTATCTTGCAGTTCATTATTTATTGACATAAATTATCTTTAAAAGCTAAGGTATTTTCTTATTTTTCTATTGTTTATTTAAATTAACTCAATAGAATAAATTTTGTTTTTATAAATACATATATTGCTTCTTCTTGTAATAGAAAATATTTAATGAATCCAAACAGAAGTCTTAAAAACATAAGATTAGAATTTAAATGTCCAGAATAATGTAATTGCGAAGGAAAAATAAATAGAAAATGGTACCACTAATCTTGCGGAAATGCTCTATATATGACATCTAAAGGAGATATATTTTGTGATACAAAGGGATGCAATACCTTTTTTATAAAAGACGCTTAGTTTTAATGCAATAAAGCTAGATAGAGTTAATCGTGGTATAAATATAAGTCAATGTCATAAATATTTATGGCACTTAGTTGTGCAATATAAGAATCAGAGCAATCCCTTAAACAAGAAGATTAAATTAAATTTACTAAAGAAATCTTGGAAGAAGTAAACAAGCAATAATTTATAAAAATAATAAGAATGAATTATTNGAAATAAATGATAATTTAAATTTTTTGTTAAAATGAAATAACAGTTCTGATTTAAAATGTTGATTTTGCTTAAGAAATAATATTAAATGGAATTAGTTGAATTTATACTAAGTGGATTTGATATAATTTAGTTTAGTTTAAATTAAGAATTTTCAAACTGGAAACATTTTATTTGTATATTCAAAGTATTGAAAAATGATAATATAACCATAACATTAATTTATTTATTTATTCTAACATAATATAATTAATTCTAAATAATATTAAATTAAAGAAAAAAAATTTAATTCTTGAAATATTCTATAGTTCTAGTTTTACATCAATGACTTCTATTTAAATCTCAGTAAAGTAGTCATTTTTACTTAAAAATCTAATGATTTATAATTCTATTTTAGTGCCTCTTTAAAAATATCTAAATAAGATTTTCTCATTGTCTTATTGATTCTAGAATTAGTCGATACTAAATATGTTTTGATATTCAACAATTTTATATCTATTATTTAATCGATTCATCGATATGGCAAAAAAATACTCTATTCTTTAGTTTTGTAATTTTTATTAATTCAATCTCATTTTCAAATTTATAAAAAAAAAAGATAGCAAACGTTCTTCTCAATATAAATCTAAAGTTGTAAAAGGTTATCTTAATAACTATAGAAGTTTAAATTGAAGTTTTATTCTCTTAATTTTTTCAGAAAACTTCATGATGAGAGAATTATTAATAATTTACTTTTTAAAAGATAACATGTTTTTCAGAACTCAATAACAGTATAAATCTTATTAGCTATCTTGCAGTTCATTATTTATTGACATAAATTATCTTTAAAAGCTAAGGTATTTTCTTATTTTTCTATTGTTTATTTAAATTAACTCAATAGAATAAATTTTGTTTTTATAAATACATATATTGCTTCTTCTTGTAATAGAAAATATTTAATGAATCCAAACAGAAGTCTTAAAAACATAAGATTAGAATTTAAATGTCCAGAATAATGTAATTGCGAAGGAAAAATAAATAGAAAATGGTACCACTAATCTTGCGGAAATGCTCTATATATGACATCTAAAGGAGATATATTTTGTGATACAAAGGGATGCAATACCTTTTTTATAAAAGACGCTTAGTTTTAATGCAATAAAGCTAGATAGAGTTAATCGTGGTATAAATATAAGTCAATGTCATAAATATTTATGGCACTTAGTTGTGCAATATAAGAATCAGAGCAATCCCTTAAACAAGAAGATTAAATTAAATTTACTAAAGAAATCTTGGAAGAAGTAAACAAGCAATAATTTATAAAAATAATAAGAATGAATTATTATCATATATAAAAACAAACACAATAATTCCTTTTTTACTCATACCTTTATACGATAATAATCTCTTCATAAGAAAAGTTCATTTTTTGTTAATAGAACTAGATTACTATTTAGATATATTATACCAGGATTAAACTAACAAGAAGATAAGGATTTCAACAAAATAAAATTTTTATCTGGGAAAAATATTTTACTCTACTTTAAATTTTTAGCAATAAGCTATGATAAAGGAATTTTAAGAGTTTAAGTTTGTCTACTTTGAATATATTAAGAATTCGACTTGATAGTACTTATTAAATGAACTTAATTTTGAAATATTTGTTTTTTTGAATTTGATTCTTTTTAATAATTTGATGATTAATAAAGATTTATTACATATTTACAATAGATCAATTTAATGTCTCCATATAGTTTTAAAATGTGTTACGGTTGGGTGACAATTTTAAGATTTATTCTAAGAATTTACAAGTAAAATTATTCTGTTTCTTATACATTGTAAACAAAAAAACCCCATTTTAAATTTGAAGAAAAAATATTTTAATGTTTATTTTGGGTGATTTAAAATAATAAATTATTTTTTTTTCGAAAATTCAAATCACAAAATACTATGATCCATTCATTTCTCAAACAAAAATAAATCTTTTTTTTTTATGAAAAAAGTATTCTCTGAATAACTAGCCAACAAACAATATCAGTTTAGATTGATAAATTTTTAGAAAATATGCAATTAATTATTTAACAAAAAGATAAAATTTTTAAAATTGTTATAAATTTTTTCCTATATAAATTTAAAAATCAATCTCAATTGAGAATGAGTCCCAAGATAATTGTTGATAATCCAAGAATGTAACCAGATTCTGTAGTTGTTTAATTACCAGGAGTATTTGTATTATTATTCGAAGTATTTGGTTGAACAACAACAGCGGTGCAAACTCCACATTTACTTGTTGAGGCATTCCAAGTATATGTATATCCAGAAATTAAGAAGCAATCATTGGATGATAATGTTGATGGGTCTGATGCATTGCATGCTCCATTAGACAAAGTACAAATTTATTGAGTCTTTCTATCCCAATTCAAGAATCTTGTACATGCTCCATTAGTAGCTTAATTAGTAGCACAAGTATGAGTTGCGCATTTACTCAAAACAGCAGTGGCTCCAGATCCAGAAGCAGATGTCCAAGAACATCTATCTCTGGCAGCTTAGCATGCAGTTTAATCATTATTGGCGGTTGTGCATGAAGTCATTAAAGCACAAGTACCAGTACCAACAACAGCTCCAGGAGCAGTTGATTAAGTGAATACACAAATACCATCTAAACCACCTGAATTACATGCTGTCCTAGATGTATATGTTGAGCAGTTGGCTCTTGGAACACAAACTGTACCATTTGAAACACAACTTGATAAGGCCACTGAGCAAACATTAGTTGCTGTACCATTTTGAATATCAGCGCATGTAAGTAATCTACATTTGGCAGTATTATTATTTGTAGCAGATGCAAGTTCCCAATAGCAAGCTCCATCAGATCCAACAGCGGTTGTGCAAGCAGTTTAAGTTAAGTACGATGAACAGGTTCCTTTTAATAAACAAGTAGTTCCATCTGATGTGCATGTTGATAATTAAGAAGCACATGTTGAATGATTGGTACCAGTTAAATCAGCGCATGATTAATCTCTACAACTGGTAGATGTTGTATCCCAAGTACAGAGACCTGTTGAAGTAATTGCTCCGGAAGTGTAAACAACTCCTTTATCATTGAAAAAGCAACCAGCTTATGAAGTATATGATGAGCATGATCCTAAAGCAATACATCCAGTTATTCCATTTGTTGTACACTTCTAACTAGCAATTTGACAATCAGAATGAGTAATATAGAAAGCATCTGCACAAGAAGTATATGGTTTACAAATCTTTGGATCTGGTGAATTCAAAGCTGGAACAGATTGAATGCAAGCTCCATCATATCCAGTCACACAACCTCCATCAGTATTTGTTTCTGAACATAAAGTAATTCCTATACAATTAGATCCGTTTGTTGTGCATTTATCACTGATCCATTTACATTAAGGATCATTATTCCAAGATAAACTTCTGCATGATGTATATCTGAAACAAGCTCCTTTAGTTCCATCAGCATTTTAATGTTTATCAATCCATAAGCATGGTCCGTTTGTTCCTTCAATGCAGGCTGCTCTAATAGTGGTTTATTCACAATTTTAGATTCTTGCGCATCTACCATTAGCTCCAGCAGTACATCCTTATCTTTAAGCTTAACAAGCAGCATGAGTAGATCCACTGAAATCTTAGCAATCTTTATCTCTACATCTATTTTAAGCACTATCCCAAGCACAGATAGTACCATTTAAGGCTGTTGTGCAAGCTACATCGATTGTAACGGCTGCACAAGTTGATTTTGCAACACATCCACCTCCATTCTTAGTTGTGCAGTTTGTGAAATATCCAGCACATGCTGCTTCACTTGTTAATGTAATTGGTGCTGTACTGCAATTTTTAATTGTACAATATGCTGGTGAAGTTACTTAATTTGCAGCATTCAACACAGCAGGTATCCATTCACATTATTAACCTGTTAAAGATGTAATGCAGCCAGCTTGGCTTAATGCTTAGAAGCATGTTCCTCTGGTAACACAATTAGTTCCATTTGTTGTACATGTTGAAAGGGCTTGTCTACATAAAGCATCTGTAGCAAAAGCGAAATCTTCACAAATCTTGGTTTTGCACTTAACATCATCTAATGTGCATCCAGTTAAATAAGTATTGCATTCATCAGCTGTAGCAGTTGCATCTGGAGCATTGTCACAAGATTTAGTAATACAAGCTGTTCCATTCCAGTGGCATGGATCACCAGCCTTATTATAATAGCATTATTTCTATGTCATTGTTTCACAAGTAGCTGGAATATCTACACATCCTTACCCACTATCTGCTACTGTACATTTATTGCTGAAATAAGCTCTACATTTTGCGTCATCGTCATAATCAGCAGTGGCTGGAGCAGTTGCGCAAGATTTGTCAGCACATTATGTTCCATTCCATCCACATGGATCACCATTAGCATTGATTTAACATTATTCCTTATCAATATAACTTGAACAAGCAGCTGCCTATTAACATCCTCCTAGGGTTGGATTACCTCCAGTTGTACTTGGAGTAGCAACAACAGTGCATTTAACTGTTGTTGTGTTATAATATGAATAACATTCGTTATGTGTTTAGATGGAAGTGGGAGCACTAGTACAAGACTTATCTTGACAAGCAGGTGCAGGTAAATTAGCATTTGTATTCCAAACACATTCACCATTATTTGCATTTGTTTTACATTGCTCCTCGATAGTATATGAACTGCATGCACCTCTAGCCATACAACCAGCAACTGCAGCCCCATTTGTAGCTCTCACTGTGCAAGCAAGAGTTGCATCAACACCAACACATTCAAGATGAGTGTCATAAGCAGTTGTTGCTTCAATATTTCCACAATTCAAATCTACACAAGTTTTATTTGTTGGATTCCAGAAGCATTTCCCTCCACTTGTATTGGTCTTCCATTCAATTAAAGATTTGTAGGAAGTACATGTGCCTCTAGGTTGGCAAGCTCCCATTCTAGCAACAGTACATGATTATTAGTAAGTTGAACATTCTCCATCTGAATCAAAAAGTGAGCTGATAGCGGCAGTATCACATGTTTTTCTAACACAATCAGAACCTACAACAACACACTCTCCTTCTATTGTATTAAGACAATTTGAAGATGACTAATCTGTGCATTTAGATAGCATAGATACACATGCAGTGCTTCCAACATTAACAGTACAAGTATTAAGCCAATCTCTACAATTTGCATGATTAAATGTAATTCCTGCAGCATTTGTACAAGTTCTAGCAGTACAACTGGTGTTTGAACTATCTAACGTGCATCCGGATTTCATTTCATTACAATTAGCGCTACTGTAGTTACCAGTACCTAAGTATACTGCATCACATGTTGCAGCTGTTGAAGCAGCAACACAACCAGTGTCAGTATTTGTACTTGCTATACACAGTCCATTTGTAGATCTATAACAATTAGCAATTGAAGCGGGTAGATATCCTGTACATTGTGATTATTATTCAACACAAGCAGTTTTAGCTCTATTTACACTGCATCCCACATTATATGATTAACAGTTAGCATAGGTTAAACCTGATCCTGTTATTTTTTAACAGTCTGTTGCAGGAGTTGCTATAGTATGACATGTATTAGCGGTAGTATTTAAATAGCATTTTGTAGATGCTATACTTCTAGTACATGCTGCAGCAGTAACTGCATATTCTTCGCATGTTGCCTTATAATCTTAACATGCAGTACCATCCGAATTAGATGTACAAGATGTGTTAAAAGCTTGGCATTTAGAATGATCAAGACCAGTCATACTTGAAATTGCTGCACAAGATGTTGCTGTCAGTCGGTAACAATAATTATCGAACCAAATACATCGACCAGCAGTTGATATTGTACAATTTGCAGAAGTTGTAAAAAGATCACAATAAGCTTATTTCTGTTAGCAAGCAGTTCCTGCTGCATTTGCAGTACAATCAGCATGATATCCTGCACAAATTGCAGCAGTCAAGTTAGTTCCTGTCACAAAAGCACAAGATGTAGCAGCGTCAACAAAAGCTACACATGTTGTATTATTCCAAACGCATTTATCAGCAGGTGATGGTGTAGCTTTAGATAATGTACAAGCAGCTTAAGTTGTATAATCAGTACAAGCTGCTTTTCTTTCTTAACAAGCTGTTCCTGCTTTATTTGCAGTACAATCAGCATGATATCCTGCACAAATTGCAGCAGTCAAGTTAGTTCCTGTCACAAAAGCACAAGATGTAGCAGCATCAACAAAAGCTACACATGTTGTATTATTCCAAACGCATTTATCAGCAGGTGATGGTGTAGCTTTAGATAATGTACAAGCAGCTTAAGTTGTACTATAATCAGTACAAGCTGCTTTTCTTTCTTAACAAGCTGTTCCTGCTTTATTTGCAGTACAATCAGCATGATAAGTTGCACAAATTGCATCAGTTAAATTAGTTCCTGTCACAAAAGCACAAGATGTAGCAGCGTCAACAAAAGCTACACATGTTGTATTATTCCAAACGCATTTATCAGCAGGTGATGGTGTAGCTTTAGATAATGTACAAGCAGCTTAAGTTGTACTATAATCAG